TCTAGGATTATTATTCATTTATCAATCTTTTTCTACTCATTTACTCAATAAACGGGATGTTACACAACCCTATATAAAGGGTGCGAAGCTTCCTAGAATTGTTTGCTTTTCTCTCAATTCTTTCACCTCGAAACACCTCTCGAGCCCCTCTAAACCACCTTGAAGCTCCGGTATCATCGCTAGCACAAGACACAAGTCCCGAAGCCCCGAAGTTCCCGAGAAACAAATCTTTTCCAGTCAAGGTACTGCTCACGTGAAGCCCAGTTTTCACCAGAAACCCATGGTTACGTCAAGAACGATCATCCTTATCGAAACACGACCCGATTCACCACTTATCAAGTGAGTTCATACCCCTATCACTATATTTTCAAATGCTTTTCAAATGCTTTTAAACACTTTTAGGGGAGGGGGAATACAAGTAAACACACGACTAAAATCGTGTGAAACACCAATCTTTTGCTATACTTTTCATGTTATTGTTATACTATCATATGAAGCCATTACAATGTAAAATGCTTCACAAACACAACTTTACTCTATTAGGGTACTACATAATTTATAAATAGAAATATGTTTTATTTATAAATGTGCATACTATATCATATCAAGAGCAAACATTTCAACTACAACGTTTTATATTTACAGAATATACAAATCATTATTATGCCTTTGTCAACACTGTAGAAAGGGTAATCATTTCAGTAACAAACATACAAACTTTTGAATACGTGACTCAATTTTTATCTTGAATTGTCAAAAGATTTTTCATCGTATAACTCGTGAACTCGTTGTTAGCAATCATGTGACGCAAAAGGCTTTTTTTAGTATCAAACGAAAGTTGCTTCTATAACCAGAGTCTCCTAGAGGGAGAGTGTGAATTTGTGTATAGATCTATACGGGGCTGACGACTCCGCACCCTGGCTGTTAGCTACAGTCGACCCGGGGTGACAAATATCAATATTAGGTACTACGTCTAGTATGGTTATGAGAGACGCGCAACGAGGAAACAATGATTGATGCACGTAGTATTACACTTATTGAACATACCCATGGAGTAGTATCTTTAGGAATGCTTTTATATAACTCGTTTGTATTAAGTAGTCATAGTAGGATATTATTACCACGTTTAGGATCTGATTTAAACATATCTTTCAGTGGTTTTACTATTTTAATAATAGAACTATACATCATAATTTTAAGCATGACATATTTGCTTACAAGTTACAGTCTTGGACATTTAAGACTGCTCCTCACTTTCAGGAAAATATAGGATTTTCTGGTTAAATACATTCATTTCATACACATAACAACTCATGACTCATTTTGTAAGAATATATCATATTTTCTAGAAAACATACACGAACTTTCAAATGGCATACTTTTACTCAAATCACTACTTATGAACTCACCAACTTAATTGTTTACACTTTTTCTTTGAAAATAACTTGTATTCTCAGGAAACCATTAATCAAGTTTAGTAACTACTTTGGGGGATTAACGCTCTGATGTTAATATCATCTTTTGGAATTCATCATTATGTATTTTGACTTTTAAACATGTAATAGATACAATCATGTAAACTTTTCAAATATATGTTATGGTGGTGTGTACAATCAAGTTTATCTCTTTTCTCCATGGAAAGACCAGCTCTTATAACTTTCATTGATGTCATGGAAAACAAATGGTAACATACATTGTCTGTTGAGTGGTTACACAAATTCATACATTTTACACAAGGGCATGGAATGACTTCTGATTTTCGATTATTACTTTGTGCAATCTCTAAAATTCCCTCTACACCTTCGTCATATACATTTGATAATCTATTAGATGAAATTCATGATTTATCCATTGACCATTTTTTACTGACCTACATAATTGTAAAGTATTCATACCAACAACGAGTAGGCATCAATACAAGAAAAACTAAAACTAATATTTAGTACTAGTTGATTCAATTTTAGCATAATGAAAAAAATGTATTTAATTCATTTTTATCATACAAAACAATTTTAAAATCTATACTACGACCAAACTCCAAAAATTCAAAACTATTACAATGACCAAAATTATTACAGGGTAAAAACTATACATGGGACAAAACTTTATAGTGACCAAAGGTGTATATGGCCAGAAAACATAAAGTTCGCTTAAGTATACAGTATAGTATAGACATAATTAGTAGAAATATTAAAATCCAAACGAATAAAAAAAAAACTATAGAATAGCAAAAAATAGAAATATGGCTTAAGCATAAATTATAGACATAAGTAATAGAGATAGTTGAGATAAATCAAAACAAATATGAAAAAAAGAAAAAAAAAATGTACAAGAACAAAAAAACAGAAATACTAACCTGTAATTGGCTTCTTTTCCTCCAAGTTGGTCATTATCTGAAAGGTAGGAATGAAAGTAGAGTGTTATGATGTATAAACAAATGAAAATAATATTATAGAAATGTATTTAATACATGTTTAAAAAGTGTCATGTGTTAATCCAAAGTAGGATGATATATGAAACATATGAAAACAAATAGTATCGGACTTCTACACATCCAAAGTTTTAAAATTTAATCAATTTTAACTCGATAATACAAACCTAAATCCAAACACATAATAAGAGACACATACACCAATAGGAACCATTGAATATAAATTGTGCAAATTTGAAGGTACGTTGCTATTTAATGCTTCATCAACACATAATAACAACTAAAAACATCAAAGTTTAAAATTGTTTAACTGCATAATACTATTATAAAATCCAAACCAAAAAAATTGAAGTTGAGAAAGTATTATTATAGACAATATAACAGGAACCATTCCTTTAAATTATAAAATTTTGAAAGTGTGTTGCTATTTCATGCCTCATCAATACATAGTAACACAGACGTACATCAAAAATAGAAAGTTTAAAAAATTTTAACTGTATAATACTACATTAAAATCCGAATACACAACCGCACTACAATAAAAACAGAGAGAGGCATATAACTTGGAAAAACTTAATAAAAAAACAGAAGGATTAAAAAATCATTTTCCATATAACTCCAGACCTCACAAAACTTAATAAAAAACCCAATAATGCTTGAAATATGATGCAATCATTTTCCAAATGGTGACAGAGGTTGTTGTAGTTGCATCAGGTTATTAATGCCTCTACTTTTTATAAATGTAAGGATAACAATAACAATATGGGTTGAGAATAGGTTATTTGTTCAAAGTACCACATTTTGGTTTTTTTATCTTTGGGTTGTGTGTGTTTATCATCTGAGGTTGGTAGTAGAACCAAACATGGAAAAGTTTTCATAAACATTGTGGACTTGAGAGAATAAAATTTTGACACAATAGCAAGAGGAATAATTTAGGTTATTGTTCGAACATATTATATACCCAAAAAGTTAGAACAAATAACCCTCATTGTAGGGGATTCAACAATTTCAAAAAAAAATTAGAAATGGTGCTGATAAGGATACAAATTTCGTATGTAAATCAGAACAAATAAACCTCATACACTACTACAAACATGGGTTTTTGCGACGGATGATTCCGTCAGTTAAGGTCTTTTGCGACGGATCTGTGACAGAGTTACTCCATAGCCAAATAGAATGTGGCTAATGACTTAGCTAGAGATTTAGCAACCAAATATCCATCGCAAATTGGTCCCATAATACCATTATTTAGGACATCAACAACAAAAATATTTTGTCGCTAATCCCTTGCAAACCTCTATATCTGTCTTCTTATATTCCGTCGCTGATCACTAAATGTGATTTTTTTTTTTGTTTCCGTCGCTGATCCCTCGCAAATGTATAATATTAATTTTTTTATTACAAAAATACTAAAAACATCAAATAATTATACAATCCCAAACTAAACAATAACAAATTAATACCAAATGATCAAATAATTATACAATCCAAAACCAAACACTAATATTAAAATGCCAATATCAAATATCAAAGTTTAACAAAACATCAAAAAACATCAAATATCAATGTTTACCATAATCTCAATTTTGTCTCATATTTTGCATTTCCACATACATATTCTCCATTGCTTCATATCTTGCGTTGCATCCGAAAGAATGAACATAATTGAATTGGACTCCGATTCCCATGGAATTAGGCGAACTAAATACAGGACAAAAATGGAATTGAATTCCGATTCCGACCAAAAAATATATAAAAAAACAAGGTATATCTGAGCAGCAAGTGCTTCAGCCTCAAGAGTAGTTTCTGCAAGTAATCCAGTCACTATGTATGGATCCATGTTTGATGTTGGACACCTGTCTTCCAAATAACCTACACACAACAAACCATGGAAAAACATTCATTAAGTAGTTCCCAATTTAGTAAGCTATATATAGATGTGTTTCTTTTTTACTTAATATAAAAAGAACAACCTAATAAAGAAGATTAAGTAAAATTATATTTTACCTTTTCCTGCCTTCTCAGTGTCACACCCCACACGGATTGAGCAACCACGGTTAGCAACACCCGGTAAGACGAATGATATTTAAAAACATGAATTTTTATTGGTTTTATATATTTTGAATTTGGTATAAATTTTTTTTTTATGGTTTTAGATACCCATGAAAATGTGTTGATGCTGGCAGTTTCGTGTTTTCCAATCAATCTTCTTTCATTTTCCTTCACCCTAAGCACTGATGTGGTCTGAGTGGCGAAGGGAATGGTTGAGAATCATCTTTTTGCTTAATGTGCTGTAAAAATTGAAAGGAAAATGGAAGTGAATTTTAATGTAAGAAAAATGGTAGTGTTTGGTATATGATGGAATCAGGGAAGGAATGGAATGGTCCATTCCATTCCATCCAACCAAAAATAAAATAAAAAATAAGTACCTATAGTTAGTGTGGCATCCTGCTCCATTCCAGTCTCCCTGTCAACATAAAAAAAAAACTTAATTACAATATCTGATAAAAAAGTCAATACACAAAAACTCAATTACTGATTACCTCAATTGGCTTAGGGTCAAGTGTCAAAACAACACCAGCTTGTTCAATAATTCTCTATTTTAAGAAAAAAAAAAAAAAAAGAGTATTCAAAAAACTAATCTCCTATGAAAGAAGCCCAAAACTTATATTATATTAACAGGGAAACATCAAAAATTTCTGCAAAGGGCATCCCATTATTTTAATTATCATATTTAAAGAGAATAATCATCACAGTCAAGCCTATAGTTTGATTACTTTATTGTGTCTTTTTTTATTTCTATTCTGCTTACTTACTTTTTGTATGTATTGAACAGAAAGTTGATATGGAATGCTACCAAATTACTCCCTTTGATAGTGAGATTTGTATGCATACATGGAACTTTTAGATAGCAGGAGCACTGAAAATGTATGCATACAAATGAAAAACTTCAATTTGCATTGAATGATTTTAAAATGTGCCATAGAACAGATAAGGTTAACAAAAAGGTACTCCTAGATATACAAGATTATGCACATGAACTATATATTTGGAATTGAAAGATGAAAGAAAGCTATGTTAATATAGATCATAACATAATAAATTCAAAAGTCCAACAATCCCAAAATTAAAAGCAGATAACTTTATGAAACTAAAAAAAATCAGTAATTGTGGAAAGAAAACAACCACTCAACATATTGAGCACACTGGAAACCATAATAATCATAAAAATATTTGTATAAGTAATTGCATGAAGTTAGTAATGATCCTAAGAATACTAAATAGCATTTAGCTTACCTTTCCGAGTATAATTCCAAGAAAATGGAAAAACTGAAGATGTTCATGTATCATTCCTTATCTAGGATTAGGATCTATAGGTGGTTAATCCTCTGGTAGTTATATCAAAAACAAAAAACATCGGACTATCAAGGCTGAGCGAATTAGAAAAAAAGGCCCCCAAATTGAAAATTTTCATATCCATTCAAAAATAGACGCATTATTTACAAGAAATCACTAATAATATTATCATGAACACAAATATAACCATCAAATTTAGAAAAACATCAAATTTAAAAAATAAAAAAATAAAAAGAAAACACTTATCTTTTTCTGATGCACTACAGATATTTTTTTTGTATACATAATACTATTGTTAAACTCTATCTTTCTTGTGAAATTGATAACCTTGAATACTTCTTCAATACCTGTAGCTTTATTAAACTTCTTTCTGCAACATAAAAATAATGGTTAATAACATGCAATATGAAATAAAAGTTATTGGATAACAATCAAAAGCTTTAACAAAAACCATATTATTAGAGGCAAAGTATTTGCAACACTTTAAAAACCACATCAAACACATAGTATATGATTTCCAATAACTACAAACTACTTTAACAAAAGTACTACACCATATGTATGTCTTAAACTCGTGTGTTTGTGGAAGCCTAATATCAAAGGAGGTTTGCAAAATAAAATCGATGACAAAAGTCATAAATCTGTCAAAAATAAAGAATGAATATTACCTTATCACGTAAATCTACAAAAATAGCACTTACTGATTGAGTGAAAAACATTGAATTTCACTGTTTTAGACAGAAACTTGAAGAAACTTTAGAAATCTGATTTACAAACAAACTGAGAATGAGGAACAATACACATATCAAAGACAAAAAAATTCAGAAACTTTAACATTGATCAAACCTTATTTGGCATCTCCCAATCACTTCGGAAATCAACAACTCGACACATAAGGGAAGGCAAAAGCATAAGTTCAACACAGAAAGGGGAGAAATTAGCACTTCAGCATATCAACACAGAAAGAGAATGCGATATTTTAATTTGAGAAAGATGAGTGAGAAGCAGAGAATGACTGACTATAAGAGCAAGATAGAAATGAGAGAAAGAATTATTTTAAGAGCAAGAGAAAGAATGAGTTTGTTGATGCGAAAAGGAGAGGGAGAAATTACAACGTCTTCTGATGTCGAGATTCACGAGGCATCATCGAATTAGCGATTCACGAGGAGGCGATTCCATTCCGTCCAGATGGCGCCCTAATTCTTGTCGCTAGTTTCTTCTTTCGTATCCCAGACATGCTCAACATTCGTTCCAGGCTATATATTTACCTGGGCTTGAACTAACTTGGCCCCTTTTTAAAAACATGTATCTAGATTATTTTATATATATATATATATATATATATATATATATATATATATATATATATATATATATATATATATATATATATATATATACTATTTAACCTAAGAATTTTGGGCCCCTCTGAGACATGGGCCCTGGGCGGTCGCCCGGGTCGCCCACCGTTAGGACCGGCCCTGCGGATTATTAGTACTAAAACATAAAGAATCCCAAAAAGGGTAAATTAGGAAAAACTAAAAGTTAATGAATACAAATTTTAAAATCTTTAATGGAATTACCAGCAATTGCAAAAGTATTGAAACCAATTCCACAATTCCCTTTGGTACTTGGATCCTAAATAAATAAAATATTAAGTTCCTATAAAACAAATTAACAGAAGAAAATATAAAAATTTATGTACCTTGGGCATGTATAAATCGGTAATTTCACCAAATTTATCAAAATGGCTGGAAAAAAACAAACATTTTGTAAGCAAAATAAAACTATAGAGTTTATAAAATGATTAAATCTACCTCCTAAATTCTAGCAACAAATATCCTGGTGACTTTTTTTTTGAAGGTGCTCTCATTTCCTCCAAAAGAAGAAAAAAAACAGCAAATTTGATTAAAATTATGAAAATTTCAGAAGTAATATATGATAAAGTGTTGGAAAAAAAAACCTTTGATGTGGCTATTTTTACTTCAAGTGCTCTATTCCTTGGGAAGTGTTCACTCGCAAGTGCAGCCTATAAAAATTATCATCATAAAATGATTTAAATTAACAAGTATGAAGATCTATTAATCTTGTATATAATAAGAAATTTTAAATAAAGTAATAAACAATAACTTGCCTTGGCATCTTCAACTGTTGCAAAGGTTACATATCCAAAACCACGAGATCGACCACTTGAGCACTCCTGGAATTATAAAATCCAGTTTAAAAATCAAAATTGAATTTGTCCATGGAAATTCAGGATGTTAACTCTTGAGATATCACAGAACATGAACAAACCTCTAACTCAAGAGCAATATCCTTGACCGAAAAGTCAAACATGGATCCTACAAAGAAGATAAGCATAGAGAAAAGAAGAGTACTGGAACAAAAATACCTACCACAATAGGTACAGAAATTATGGGACTTATGATTGTTTCCGTTTTGAATTTGAGCCCCTTGTCAAATACCTACACACGGTACCAAATTCATATCGGTTCAAATCTAGAAAAGAATCCATATGCTAATTTATACTCAAATCCAGAATAGTTTGATTATCATAAAGTTGATGAAGACCACTTCAGATTAATTTTCTCGAGTTTATGATAGAGGTGGAGATTGCTGATCAGTTATACTAGGAGATCTGAAGAGACAATGAGGAATGGAGACGAATCGGAAGCCAAAGAGGATGTGAGAGGGATTTGAGGCGAGAAATAGATAGGTAAATTAAGGCTTTGGAAAGAAATCGGTTGGAATGAAAATAAAATGAGGCGAGAAAAGAAGAAATGTGGGGAATGAAAAATTGAGGCACCAATTTTCTGCGAGCGATTTGCGAGGGCAAGGCCTGTGATTTTTAGCAATCCATCGTTATTCCCTCGCTAAGAGGTTTTAATTTGAGATGGATTAACGATGAAATGTTTTTGTAGAGAAATGCTTAGAAATCAGTCGATGATCCCTCGTTGATACCTCTCTTAAATTATATAAGTATTTTGGTCGAAATATCAGTGCATTCCATCGTTGATCCCTTGGTAAGTCGTCGTTGATTAGCTACGGATAGAATGCGTAGCTGATTCCGTCGCTAAAGATCAAGTTTCTAGTAGTGATATAAGAGTTAATTTTAAGAAAACAACTAAAAAAATAATACTTGTTACGAATTTGACATTAATCTTCTCTATGGATGTTCAAATAAGACATAAGGGTATCAATGGCGTTGGCTATTTTTTGAGAGGCGAACATAGAAGGGAAGTGGCATCGGAGGCGTTGTGAGGCTGAAGAGTCGCAATCGTCGGTGAAGAGAGGTAAGCTGATCAGGTTGTCGTTCGGTGAGAAGAAGTACTCTTACATTGGCCGTTCTCTACTTGGTCGATCGTGGGAAGTGAATAAGAATTACTCGACGACACTGTGAGGCTGAAGAGTCAGAGTCGCCGGTCAAGGGACATGAGCTGATCAAGTCATCGTTCGGTGAAAAGAAGTACACAATCATTGTTCTCTGCTTGCTCGATGGTGGGAAGTGAAAAAAAATTGCTAGAAGTAAAAGAAAAAGCCATAAGTTGTTATAACCACCCTAAACCCTAAACCCTTTATAAACACCCTAAACCCTAAACCTTTTATAAGCATCTAAAATTAGATGTTTTTATGGTACTTAACCTTTTTTTGTTGGGTTAATCGGATATTATGTGTAGGGGTATTTTTGAAAAGTTTTGTTTTTTACTTTCTTTCCAAGTTTTTGTATTAGAGTCAAACTCTTGTTTTGTTTAGTATAAGTAGGGCTACGTAATTGAAGTTTTATAATTGAGTTTTCTGCCTTAATAAGAAATATACTAGCAGCTTAAGGAAATTTCCAAGTTTCTTTTATTCCTTTGTTTGTCGTTCTTCTTCCTTGTTCATAACAAGGATTCATCAAAGTTGAATCCAAAACTTGGTATCAGAGCGTGGTTTTGTTGAAGGGGGTGTGATTCGAGGTTGATTAGAAACAACCCCGGTTTCTTTTAATCGGGCTTGTGAGAGACTAACCGGAGGCCCGGAGTAAACGAACGGGAAGACGTCAAAGCGGGTGGCTTTGATTCGGTTCGTTTTGCAGGTGACGGAAGACGGTAAAGGTGGTCGTGACCTTGTCTTGTTGTCCGGTGGAAGAGTGCTCTCGGAACAAGCTTGATTAAAGAAGTCGGGGTTAAGGAGAAAAAGATGGCGTTGGTTAAAGAAGGAGGTTCGTTGACATATCAAGTTCCGGTTTTGACTCCAACGAATTATCCGGTGTAGGCGGTTAAAGTCAAGTCAATTATGGATGCACATGGCATATGGGAGACGGTCGAACCGAAGACGTTAGATAAAGCACCAGATCAAAAGAAGTCAAAACAAGCTCTTGCTTTTTTGTTTCAAGCGATACCCGAAGACATGGTGTTGCAAATGGCGAGTTACACCGACCCAAAGCAAGTGTGGGATGGGCTAAAAACACGATATTTGGGAGTGGATCGGGTAAGAACGGCTCGACTTGCAACCTTAAAAAGGGAGCTTGAAAGTTTACGCATGAAAGAGGATGAAACGGTTGATGATTTTGTGACAAAATTATCCGGTTTAGCGTCAAAAGTAAGGAGTCTTGGATATGAGCTTGAAGAAGGTGATTTGGTAAAAAGGTTACTAGATTCGATGCCTAAGTCGTTTCTCCAAATCGTGGCTTCAATAGAGCAATGTTTCGAGTTGGATTCAATGTTATTCGATGAAGCGGTTGGTAGATTGAAGGCGTACGAGGAGCGTATAAGAGGAACTGAGAAAGTGGAGGACACTCAAGGTGGGTTGTTGTTGGCTAGTGATGAAAAGTCACATGTTTGTAAGCATTGTGGCAATGGACGTTCAAATCGGGATGACTTTGGACGTGGCCGGGGAAGAGGTTGGGGGTCCGGGAGAAGTCGAGATGGTAATGAACGTGTCCGGGATAAAAGTCACGTTAGATGTTACAAATGTGGTGAGCTTGGTCACTATAAAAACGAGTGTCCTAAATGGGAAAAGGAAGAAGTGGGTCTAATCGAAGAGGAACCGGCTTTGTTTTGAACGACGAGTGGCTCGTATGACAAATCCGATTAAGGGGGTGATTGTTGGGTTAATCGGATATTATGTGTAGGGGTATTTTTGGAAAGTTTTGTTTTTTACTTTCTTTCCAAGTTTTTGTATTAGAGTCAAACTCTTGTTTTGTTTAGTATAAGTAGGGCTACGTAATTGAAGTTTTATAATTGAGTTTTCTGCCTTAATAAGAAATATACTAGCAGCTTAAGGAAATTTCCAAGTTTCTTTTATTCCTTTGTTTGTCGTTCTTCTTCCTTGTTCATAACAAGGATTCATCAAAGTTGAATCCAAAACTTTGGTTCTCATTTGAACCTCTATATATATATATATATATATATATATATATATATATATATATATATATATATATATATATATATATATATATATATATATATATATATATATATAAAAGTGATGCTTAAAAGGTCACGCGAATTCCAAAAATGTGAAAGAACAGATGCTTACCTTGAAATTAGCATGAAGAGTGAAAATAATCCTTTGAAAATGGGTTCTTTGTTTCCTTATCTACCGAAATATTAAAGACTCAAAAATATATTCAATGTAAAATTGCTCAGAAATCTATTGTGTATTCAAAAAAATATTAAAGACTCATAAATAGATTCAATGTTTAGACCAAAGTCATGCAAATATTAAAAAAAAAAAAAAATTATAAAACAAATGCTTAAAAAGTCAGGCAAATTCCAAAAATGTGAAAGAACAAATGCTTACCTTGAAATTAGCATGCAGAGTGAAAATTAAGATATGAAAATGGCGCTGCTTCTATAATCCTTAGAAAACGGGTCCCAGATCTACTGAAATATACACAAAATACAAAATAAAATAAAATTAGTTATCATAAATATTTGTTTCTGTAACCTGAAAGACACCATAACAGCTACCAGAAAGTCACCAAAGCAGATGGATGAGATAGAACAAAATCTAAAATAGGTCGACGTCAATCTTGATGGCAATGGAGACAGCTCGGAGTTATGGTGAAGCTTGAACAAATCTTAACGTTGGTGGGGGCACTGTAAGATCGAGGAAGTGTGTGAGACAGAAAAACTCCAAAAAACCACATGAACTATTCAGATGAAAAAAAATCCATACACATACAAATCATGGCAGTTAATTGATCAAATATTGAGACCCAAATCAATATATATTTACCGCTTAACCATTGGATGGTCTTCGTTGTAGATTTGAATCCAACAATAGTGAGCACATGTTCATCGATTGGAGATCGTGATCCAAAAATAGTGGCGGGTGTCTAGGATTGAAAGCCAGAAAGAGATGAACGCTTGGTGATAGTCGCAGAGAGAAAAAGAGAAAGCAAGATGGCCGATCGTGATGGCGTTGAGGAAGATGGTGGTATTGAGAAAAACACCATATATTACTTTCTTCTGACGTCCAAAATAAAGCTATTTCACCTATTTCTCTATAATCCCGTTACCGAAATCCCCAAAATAACCAATAAATAGACTTCACAAGAACATGTTTGATTCTAGTGAGGCTGTATATATAGTTTCCTTAGATTTTGAGTAACAAACATTCAAACTTGAGTTGGGAAATTAAAATGGTGTACAAGAGAATAGATATGTTAGCGATTCTTGTCAGTTGATATAATCACATAAGAAATACAGAGAAAACTGGGTTGAGAAAATGGTGATGGTTCTAGAGTTTGTGTGTGTATGTGAACGAATATTAGAGGCTAAGGAGGAGGACAGTGGATGGTTACAAACCCTAAAGCCTAAAGCCTTATATAATTCAAAACATCCCGTTTCTACCAAAAATATAAAGGATAAGAAAATGAGGTAAGGGCCGAGATGCTAGCAAAGATTGAGGGGGAATAAAGAAGGAAAGATATTGATTGATTAGATGATATCGTTTAAACACAAATATATTACTTAGTTTAGTTGTACCTTCTGTATTGAAATTTATACCTCTTAAAATTTTTCCTATGACCTTTCTGTCTTTTACAAATTTTTTTGGCACCGGTTTTCCCAGGTTTCTAAGAACCCTAAGTTTTTAATAGCCTAATTTTACATCTATTAGGATACAAGCTAGGGCATTGGTGAATTTAGAGTTGGATTGGCAAACAGTGATACTGATGCCAGGAATTAAACTCTTGGAAATATATAAAAAGAGGCCAGGTAGGTTGTATGTTTATAAACTCACAAGGCAGATTACAACTTTAGGAAAAGGAATTATGAGGTAAGTTGTTTTGTTGTATGTTTTGTAAAAAACAAAGGGATTCCCACAAGCAATTATTGTTTGAATGTTATTATCCTATCAGATGCTGGAAAAGACTTAAATGTTGGGTAAATATGAAAATGGTTTCTGTTCCATGGGAAATTATGGCAAACAAGAAGATTAAACGATAAAACCATGAAAGTAGAATTTCAAGATTGCAAGGTAAGATTCTTGATTTTTTAATCCCACAATTCCAAAAAGTGGTATTGTTTGACTTTTAACGTAAGTAATTAGAAAAATGTGAAATTTTGTTGATTGCAGTTGCTTTTGGTTTACAAAATAATTACAAATCCAAAGGAGGTGTATAAACTATTAACTATAAAGCATTGGACATTGCAGTTAAAAAGGACTATCCAATTGTGATAATTGCTCAAGGAAGCTTTAGCTCCAATAATTAGGAGCAAACTCAAGGGAATAATAAAAGCTCCTGCTTTTGGTCAACGCAAGAGCCATTACTTAGATGACATTGATATCTTGACTGGAGGTAGTAAAAAGAATCTCTTAAATTTTTAAATTTATTAATAACAAAAATGACCACTTAGAGAAACTACATTGGTATTTGATCTCTTACCTAGATGTTTTTCCATATCTTTTTGAATGGGTGCACTTTCTCCATGAACTGGTTGCAAAAAAATGGATAATGTAAATTATAGCAAATACTAAAAATAATACACTGCAAAATATCATAGAATCTTCTTTAATAAATGAAGGTTTTTTTTGTCACATGTCATTTTCTCCTTCATTTTGACACTTGTCATTTTGTAAGAATTTTAGAAATTTTATTTTCCACTTGTCATTTTTAGGGATTTCCATTTTCTTAAAATAAAATTCCATAAAATTATAATGGGTTTATAAGGAAATAAAACCATCCTATTAATTTAGTAATAAATTTTCATAAATATGTTAAAAGATTTAATTTCTTTTGCAAATTTTCAAAAGATTACATTTTGTTATCTAAGTATTACATTATAAAATATTTCATATTTATATATTGATATTAAATTTTTATTTTTAATAAATTCATGTAATACACGGGTCTCACACCTAGTAAATATAATGTAAGAGCACTAACCAATACATGTGGCTGAGTTTTACTGCTTTGTGACATTTGATCGAGAATTGTCCAATCATAGATGTAATCAAATTTAAACCCTGCAAGAAAAAAGCAAC